ATTTGGAGGGGAGAACCTTGAGCAGACATATACAAGTGAATGACGTCGCAATGCAAACGCTTTCGCATTGTACAAGAGTTCTAAGCCAATTCTGGGCTCCCATTCCTTCACAGTGCTTCAAATCGGGCGTGTAGCACCTACGGCTAGTCTAACTCTTGGCAATTCGTTTGATTTTTGGGACGGCTCGCAAGCATCAGTTCATTTTTTTGGAATCTTTCATATGGTATCTTTTTTATACGAAACTATTGCAGGATAACTCAGCTCACTGTGAGGTTCGACCAACAGCGAAGCTGCTGAATGGTGTCTCCAACGGGGGCGGGCTGAGTGAAACACAGGTTTACCATGATTCGAATATCGCTCTTATCCCATCTTCAAGCTCACATTTAAGCTGGATGAGTTGCGAGCAGAGAGTGAATTGAATTTTGACCTTGCAAACAAGCGGCTTCAAGAAATCCATGAGTTGAATGAGCGGATACAAAAATTTGTGGAGGATACTGTACGGATGGAATGTGATTTGAAGGTATATTTGATTGTCAAATTTGGTAACAGTAACCGCTTCGCGCTATGTTAGCCTTTTTTTCAGTCTGCATATAGTTCGTCTGCTCAAATAATACAGAGTACCGAGTATCAAAATCTAGTTGCTTTTTATTCAGTAGTCATTGATGAATGCCGAAGGTTAAGGTGTGTTTAAGTGCACTTTGTTTTTTTTCTCCGGTTACTCAATTTATGTGCTATCTTTTCTTCAGGAGTGACTTTGAAGCAGTGACAGAGGAGCGTGATCTTTTAAGGCAAGAAATGCTCCAGAAAGTTGAAGAAATGAAGGTAGACGAATCCATATTATTTTACATGTGTTGGTGGTCTAATAGCTTTACGTGATTTTTTAGGCCGACGAGCATCAATCAATGCGCAAAATGCGATCGCTTTGTGAACAAATCACTCGAGACTTGAATCAAGTTGGTTTAACTTACCTTGTGAGATATGATTCCTCCTAGTTTTGAATTGAAAGTACAAATTAACTTCAATTATTTTTTATCCTTCTATAAATATCAGTTTCGTTGTTTGATTATGTCTCTAGAAACTTCGGTGAAGCAGAACATACGCTTGATAAAAATTTGAAGATATTAAAGTGGAAAGGACAGATTTTTTGAGAAAGCTTCTTACTGCTCTCTGGTTTTTGGGGATTTTTTTCAAATTGCATCTTATCTACTTGGTTGTGAATTCTGCCATTAATCTGCGTATATTCCATTTATTTTTTGATTCAGATGCGAACCGAGTCAGACATGTTACGAATGGAGTTCGAACAGTCGTTGGCAGCTCATAGCAAACAAGTAAGCTAATAAATATAAAGCTAATGTTCATCGCTGCATCGCTCATATAACACACGACCTAGAGTGTGTACCGCTCATGAGTGAAATGCTTCAAATTTTTTGGATTTACTTCCTAGTCGCTTTTGTCTATCTTAGTCTTACTTTCTTTCCTTTGAGAACCGTTGTTGTTGCTAAAAATCGCGGCATTAAATGGTTAGCAGTTCTCGTATTTCATTCTTTTAGGATGCGAAGCAACAAGACATAAAAGTATTATTTGGTACGCTAAAAACGCAGAACTATCAGCTGAACTCCGACGTTGCGAAGTATAGAAAGAAATGGAAGGAAGGCGTTAACACAAATTACAAGGTATATTTAGTGCAATCATAATAATTAATGCATTCCTGTTGATGTTTCTCTCGTTCTCGAAGTGGTCCAGATTTTGCGCTAATTATATTTCAGATACAAACCGAGTTGGACACTGAAAGACGTCGGTTAGAACGATGTTTGGTAATAGAGCTAGATGATGAGGATTCAAATGAGCTTGCGAGCCCAGACCAGTCGCGGGACGACTTGGATATTGGTGATGATGCCAATGGGGAGAGGTAAGCATATCTGAGGAGTTTGTCTCCAGTGCTACTGTGTAGTTTGCTTACTTTTTTTTGGTACTCTTTCTTATTAATTGTCTTAGTCTTTAAGCAAACTTTCCCTCTCATGAAACTCTATATGGTTTTCATTGATGAAAAAACTTCCATTTTCTAGCCATTTGTTTTTTGCTTTGATATGACCTTTAAATGGCGAATAGGGATGGTGCTGTAGTTCCACATGGTAATTTAACACATTTAGTGTGAGTGCTTTACAAGCGAAAATCTTGGAGTTGAAACTCAAATTAGAAGTCTACGCTGATGTTGGTGCGGACGTTAGAGATAAGGCCGAGGTAATATAATTGGTATCTATCTTCTATTGAATTTTTATTTTGCCTTTTTTCAGCTGCTTGTACGAGAGCGACGCTTAAAAAAGGAAAACGAAAGGTTAATACATCAGATCAAGCGGTTAGGCAACATTGAGAGGAAGGAACGAATGCGTTACTTTGAGGTGTGTACTACTTGGTGCTTTCACTATTTTACGAGTTTCCCAATCTTCTATATCTATTCGAAAGCTTTGCAAATTTTGACAATATTGCTTTCGATTTTCCTCAAAACTATCGTCAATTCATTTGAACTCACAGATGGACGCAAACAGGCTCTTTGCACAGAAAGATACTGAAATTGAAAGATTGAAACGTGAGGTAGCGATGCTGAAAGACACTGAAGCATCAC